CTGGCCTCGATTCTCGTTCGTCGCCTCACTGCGGAACGGCAATCTCGGATTAAGGAAGAGCAGGCCGGTTTCTGCACAGGACGTGGCTGTATAGGCCATACATTCACTTGCGGCAAGTGCTAGAGCAGCGCCACGCATACCGCAGACCGACAATAGCTGTGTCCCTCGATGTCAAGAGTGCGTTCGATTCAATCGATCGATGGATTCTGTTCGAAATACTTGCGCGGAAAAGTGTTCCCACGAAATATGTGAACATCCTTCGTGTTATGTACTCGAACACTACAGGCCGCGTCAGGGTCTACGGTGTCCTGTCGGATAGCTTGCCAACCACAAGTGGCGTTCGTCAGGGTTGTCCGATTTCCCCATTTTTGTTCAATTTGTCGTGGATTCCATCATGGAGTGTTCCTTTAAGGAATCTCATGATGTAGGCGTTGAAGTGCTACCTGGTGAAAGGTTAATTGAACTAGATTATGCGGACGAGATCGTCTTGCTTTTCGACAATGTTGGGGAGGCACAATCAACCCTAAATAGCCTGTCCAGAGTGGTCCCATTATTTTGTATGCACTTCGTACCTTCAAAGTGCAAAGTGTTGCTGCAGGACCACCATCCACTTGATGACCCCTTGACGCTCGCTAATGAGGAACTCGAGGTGATTGATCATTTCAGTTATCTTGGCAGCTGCATCAGCAATGATGGGCGCATAGAAACTGACGTCAGCTCACGCATTGCAAAAGCCAGAGTTACCATCTTGAACGTGCGGCATCTTTGGCGACAGAAGGGAGTTTCCATAAGTCTGAAACGCCGTGTATACAAGGCCACAGTAAGGGTCGTTCTGCTCTATGGTAGTGAGACTTGCCCCTTCGGGCTGAAGATCTGAGGCGCCTTCAAGTCTTTGATCATCGTTGTTTGCGAAGCATTGCTGGTGTCGGATGACACCAGAGTGTCCGCAACGATGATGTGCTAGCTCCTTAGAACAACAGATAGCACTGAATAAGTTGCGTTGGCTCGGGCACGTGCTACGTATGCCTGGTCACTGCTTACCTAGGGGGGCTTGTTTAGTCTGCCAGGTGTAGGGTGGCGAAAGGCTCGGGGTGGAAAGAAGTTGACTTGGCAGCGGGAAATGAAGTCGCTGACGACAAAACTGGGTGCCGTTGATCCGTCTCGCCTTCCGGGTTGGAGTCCACGTGACTCGCCTTGTGCTTGGCTTGAGACTTTACAGGACATGGCTCGCAACCGACATCAGTGGCGCGTCTGCTGCCGTCTCCTAATTGGATTGCATGTTTAAAGTGTGTTTGGTGCTGAGTTATCTGCGGGGTAATGGCTGATTATGACTTGTGGCAGTGAAAGTCGCAAGGAAGCTGTCTCGCCGATGCCGCCTTAGCTTTGCACTATAGCCAGCTGTTTGCGACGGTATTTTGTCTACACAGGGTGTACGCGCCTTGATCCAGAATGTTTGCTTAGAGCATTAAGTTTTCTTGTAAGTCCCCCTTCTCTCACTCTTCTTATTCTTTATTTCATAGGTCCTCATGGTTGTATGGCAACGAAGCATCAGTTCAAATGGCTGATGTACTGCTGCTGCTGCTGATGATGATGATTATTATTATTATGCGGGTAATATCGTCTTGCTTTTCGACGATGCTGCTTGCAGCATAATCAACTCTGAATAGCCTGTCTAGAGTAGTCCCATTATTTTGTATGCACTTCGCACATTCAAAGTGCAAAATGTTGCTGTGGGACCACCAGCCACTTTATGACCCCTTGACCTTTACTAAGGAGGAACTCGAGGTGGTTGATCAATTCACTTAACTTGACAGCTGCATAAGCAACGATGGGCGCATAGTTCACGCATTGAAAAGCCTGAACTGTCCTCTTGAACCTGCTGCATCTTTAGCGACAGAAGGGAGTTTTCCTACATCTGAAAGGCCGTCTATACAAGGCGACAGTGAGGACCGTCCTACTGTATGGTAGTGAAACCTGCCCCCTTCGGTCTAAAGATCTGACGTGTTTTCAAGTCTTTGATCATCGTTGTATGCGTAACATTGTTAGTGTCGAGCGGCACCAGCGTGTCCGCTACGATGATGTGCGTAGGCGAGTACTAGGTAGTGATAATCATGCTAGCTCTCTAGAACAACAGATAGCACTGCATAAGTTGCGTTGGCTCAGGCACGTGCTACTTTTGCCTGGTCACCGCTTTCCTAGGGCGGCCTTGTTTAGTCTGCCAGATGTAGGATGGTGCAAGACTCGAGGTGGACAAAATTTGACTTGACAGCGGGAAATGAAGTCACTGACGACTAAACTGGGTGCCGTTGATCCGTCTCGCCTTCCGGGTTGGAGTCCACGTGACTCACCTTGTGCTTGGCTTGAAACTTTACAGGACATGGCACGCAACCGACACCAGTGGCGCGTGTGCTGCCGTCTCCTAATCGGATTGTCTGTTTAAAGTGTGTTTGGTGCTGAGTTATTTGCGGGGTAATGACTGATTATGACTTGTGGCAGTGAAAGCCGCAAGGAAGCTGTCTCGCCGATGCCGCCTTAGCTTTGCGCTATAGCCAGCTGTTTGCGACGGTATTTTGTCTACACAGGGTGTACGCGCCTTGATCCAGAATGTTTGCTTAGGGCATTAAGCTTTTCATGTAATTCCCCCTTCTTTCCCTCTTCTTATCCTTTATTTCATAGGTGCTCATGGTTGTATGGCAGCGAAGCAGCAGTTCAAATGGCTGATGTACTGCTGTTGTTAACGGTGATGTTGAGACAAGTACCAGCAGTTTGGAATACCTTACTCCAAACTAGCCCCAGTCAGCTTCCTGCCACTTCTCACCAGGCGCAACACCTTGTTCCTCTAACCCCAACGCTCCCGATTTACATGTTGGAGACTATTTTCCTTTATGCTATTTCCTTTGTCTAACTGTATCAGAGGGCATGGTGGGGTGTCACGCTTCGAGCCGGCGTACATTCTGTTCAAATGCCACATAGGTACAATGAAGATACGGCTAACACGCGAATCCAACCCGCTATAAGGTTGCTTGGCCTTTCTATATGACCCGATCCTATTTCTTTACACTTTATGGGTTATGTAAAACGCCAGCTTTTCCCGTGATATACAATGCTCCAATGTTTCAATGCCTTGACGCGGCTTGCAGTGTTCGAGTATAGAGCACCTAAAATGTTCAAATTTCACGGGAACACCTTTCCGTGCAAATATTTCAAACAGAACGCATCTATCGTATGAGTCGAAAGCACTCCTGAAGTCGATAAACACAGCTATTGTCGACTTACCGTACGTATGACACTGCTCTAGCACCTGCCGCAGTGAATATATGGTCTATACTTCAATGTCCTGCGCGGAATCCTGCCTTCTCTTGCCTAATCCTGGGTTCCCGTTGCGCAGTGAGGCGATGGAGGCCGGTCACTGTCACAAGTGACATTACGCTCATATCCCTGTGGGTAGCAGAGTCGGTGCGACTACCGTATTTGTATATTGCCAATATACAGTAGGACTACCGTAAGTTGACCCTCCAAAAGACCGGATCATTGTGGTCAACATACGGAGGTACTAAGCCAAAACGTAACGGTAACAAGCCCTCTCAACAAAAGCTACCCTACTCAGCATGCTTAGACACCATTCTACAGTAAATAATTCCAGTTGCATTAAAAGCTACCCGACATCATTCTCTTTTAGGGTTTCTGTGGTTCCCATGTTATCTTCACCTAGTACTTCCTCATTACCAGACGAACTTTGTTTATTCCCGTAGGGGTGTACCGCAGTAGGTATCGCTTTGAAAATAGCATCTCGGTCTGGTTCAGTGTACATAATCACAAGAACTGAAAATTTATTCCCACAAGGTCTGTACTGGGAGATGGAATGTCAATTAAGCCAATACCGTATTTTTCGAGACGCTGTCCGCAAGAGTGACCAGAAAGTGTCCGCCGGAGTGACCCTTACACGTCCCTGAGTGACCAACCTTTGTGCCCCAGACCGTCCCGAATGGACATTTTCTGGACGACTTATGGTCCCCTAGAATGTTTTTCCGACCCACCCTTAATATGTAACTTGAAAGTATATCGTCAACATTAAGACGAAATCGTAATTACGCAATAGTATAGCCGATAAGCTAAACCGAAAATGTTTTTAATGACCAAGTCGTCCCACTTGAGACGAATTCTGTCACTGAGACTTTTATCAATGCACCTTTACCATGTACAGTAAAAGCATACTTTCTGATTGTGAATATCGTCAACATTAAACAAAAACCGATTCCTAACTTGTAAGTACATAATACACTAGCAGTTAAGCAAACCGAAAATGTTTTCGAGTGACCAAACTTTGACCAAAAAGTGTTCAATTTGAACGGTCACTCAGGGAGCTCCAATGGTCACTCGCGCTGAGTGAAATGACGAGTTTCTTAAAAAGTAACGCATTTTGGGATAGATACGGAGGTGCTAAATAGGTAGAATCTTATTTAACGGCATATTTGAACAGCTTACGCTATTGAATTTCATATTAAGTTATTGCCACTGCGATTGACCAAAAACACTCCCAAATGGCACCGTTGCCGTCCATCTGTGCGGACTGAGGAGTTTGGAGTAATCCAGCTTTCTTGAATCACTTCTTAACTGTTTCTGGCTTAACGTTGTGCCAAACGGAACAACCAAAACACACCATCCAGAGTATTAACTGAAACAGTAGATGATCATGCGGTACGCAGCTTATGGATTCAGTTTTACAGAAATGGACGCCATCCAATTTCAAGCCCCCAATCTGGAGGACCAGGAGAGAGTTCCTCTGACCCGAGTCCCACCAAGCATAGCTTAACAGGTCGACGAAATAAGCAAACCGTTTTGATTTGTTGCGACGGATAATATGCAATGAGGAAATTTCTCCGCTGTCGCCAATGGCCCAATAAAAATAACGTCAGCCACAAACCCATGAGCAGCTAAGACTAGAACAACACAAAGTAAAATACAACGAAAAGCAAAAACTGATGAACGCAGAAACCGACCTCAGGAAAAGGGTCCTACCCTCTTTAGTGTCGGACATCAGATCATCCAATGCATGGAACGAAAAACGCTCGAAATCGGATTGTGTAGTCAGGTACAACAGCAATTTTTGTAGCCACCTAGAAAAGAATGGATGAGAAGAGATTACTACTTGCATATAAATATGCACGTGTATAAGGCCATATATTTCCATTAATATGATATTATAAATTTAATTAAATTTTTTATAGTCTATTTTGACGCTTAGCACCAATAAGTTGCTTCCGCCAGTATAATTTTTGTTTGTTGTGTCCTTGTGCTTCTTTCTAATAATCTAAATAACACGCGCACTATTTGCTGTTACACCACTGTTTTAAAGCATGTAAGCCGTCAATCCATATATTGGCTGCTCCAGTCACATACGTCATTTCTGTCATACGCGCGGGTGTGCTGATAAGTAGTGGCAGAGCAAACTGTGTGGATTCAATCTGGTGAAGTTATCTGATTGACTGATAGGATATGTTCAGAATTGTGTCGAGATTGTGAGGCTGTTGTTCGAATCACCGGTGAAACAGTATTTGACTGCGCAAACGGTCTCCTAATATGCGTTGTCCGCTTCGGGATGTGCTAATTTGACATAGTTACCAGACGTTTGACGCCACCTTGTTACTGAAGCTTCGGATTTCGTCATGCCCAACTCACTGTTTACACTGCTCAAAACTGGTTACTCAGGGTATTCAGTGTATCGCTTGTAAATCCTGGGCCTGTGGTCACGAGCGTTGTTCGCAACCTACGGATTCGCTTTTTAAGATCTACTCTGAACACAAAGGCCTGTTATGGGTCTGTCGGTATTGCATTGATGCAGCTGCACTGGCAAGACGACCGCCGCTTTAGAATCTTGAGAGATGCTCATCCGTTCCTACTGTTAGAAGAGCCAGAAAGTGCAGCGCGGTACCCCCGGCGACCATCCAAAGAATACGACCAACCAAGTAGAAGACCTGCGTCGCACCTGTCCCCCCGACAACCTGACTACGTTGTTCACAGTTCCTCCATACAGCGGGATTTTATCAACCGGTAAACCGGAGCAAACACTACGGATCTCTGATGAGCCACCTCCTGCTACAGTCGCAGATCATGGAACCAGAAACGAATCACCTTGGATTGTTGCGGGAAAGAGACCTCCAGTATTGACTCCGAGCACCGTTACGCGACCGTCCGTGTTGTCCGAAACTGGTCTGACCCATCCTTGTAACCATTGTCTGATGAACTTTTATGCCCCGGAGTCAGAGTTTTCCGACCCGCGAATTCGTTATGAGCATGATGTCGCGTTCTTACAAAATTTGGTTGATAAACTCCTGAACCCCGATGAGCAAGGAATTCATATAAAACGAGTATTACGAATGGGAAAACAAATAGCAAACACGCCTCGTCCGTTGCGAATTGTTTTTGAAGATGACGTCACCCCAACGCGTCTAAACGGCCTGAAAATCCACGTGGGTGCCGACCTCAATTTGGAAGAACGTAATCGTCTTCAAACTGCTACCACTGAACTTAAACGGCTAACTCAACAAAGTGAGAACAACATATATATCGTAAATTTTCGCGTAATGCAGAAGCGCCAGCTGATACACAAGCCGGTGCTGCTGACGTCGCGCGCCCTAAGCTAGTTGCCGGTATCACTGTGGCGCTTACGAAAGTTCGCAGCCTCACCAACAAATTTGACGAGGTACATCTCTGGGTAGAGCACCATTGCCCAGATTTATTTTGTCTGACTGGAACATGGCTCCACGGTGATATTACTGAGCCTGAAATTCACATCGCTGGATACACGGCATTTCGGTGCGAACGACCCAAGTGCGCTCATGGCGGTGTATTGTTATATATAAAGTCCAGCATGAGAGGAAGACTCAAATCTACACATTATAGTGCCGAGCGCCTATGCGAACAAATTTGGTGCGGAGTTACTGTTGGGCCGAAGGAACTGAGAGTGGAAGCCATTTATCGGAGTCCTTCAAACACTTCCCGTGGTTGGATCGATGTAGTGCAGCAGCGCTTGAACTGCAGAAATTTTCTGTTGCTTTGTGATTTTAACTTCCTTCACGTTGATTGGCCGAATTATAAAGCTCTACCTGGAAGTAGCAATCTCGAATGCGCTTTTGTCGATACAATGGCGGAGATGCACGCAGTGCAACATATTCTGCAACCAACAAGGCAGCTTCCGGGGCAACCTGAAATCTGTCTTGATCTCCTTTTCACGAACGATGAGCAACATTTCGAATCAGCATAAGTATTTGAACCCACTGGGTCCAGCGATCACTCCACGATATCAGCCATCCTACGTTTACCGTCTGTTGGATTATTACGAATACGCCGTCGTAACATTTGGAAAGCAAACTGGGATCGGTTGATGAGTAATGCGGAGCACGTTGACCGATCATTACCTTTGAATGACGGTGTTGACGTGCGTTGGGAGGTGCTGAAGCAAAACCTTGTTCAGTTACTAGACCAATTTGCTCCTTTAACACAGATAAAATGCTTGAAGAGGCCGCCATGGATGGATAGCGAATATGCTGTCATGTCGAGGCGACGTGCAAAATTCTGGAAAAGGTTCAAACAAACTCATAACGCCGAAGCTTACACAGCTTACAAAACACAAAGAAACTGTTGCAATTCAGTGAAACTACAGAAGCGTGCGGCTTATGACACACGCTTATCAGCAAATGAGAAGGAGTCACCCAAAAAGGTTTTTGCATACATCAAACGCAAGCTTAAGCCAACTGACAAGATACCTGCTTTGGAAAATTCGCTTGGTACACTGTTGACCGCCGACAAGGACCCAGCTATCGCACTTGCCTCATATTTCGAGTCAGTGTTCGGCTCAGCTTTTTCAGCATTTCAGAGTACCCAAGTCGAAGCCAAACTGGATACAGTATTCTGTTCAGGGGACCAAGTAAGGGGATTGCTTGCTAATCTAGACTGCTGCAAAACGCCAGGACCTGACGGCTTGCATCCACTACTTCTCAAAAGGCTAGCACCTGTTATGGCACCTTCAGTGACGGAATTGTTCGAGGCCTCTTTGACACAGGGGAACGTCCCACGTGAATGGAAGCAAGCGATCGTACGGCCCTTCCCGAAAGGAGGAAACAGAAGCAGAGTAGAGAACTGTAGACCGATTTGCCTGACACAAGTGCTGGCTTAATTGCTGGAGAAAGTGGTCAAGCAGGCGCTGCTTGAGTTCACAGAATCACACGGTGTGTTTACATCAGTTCAACATGGTTTCCTAATAGGACGGTCTTGTACCGCGAATCTTCTGACTTACCGACACAGTTGGATTGAAGCAGTTAATGACGGTAGGAGCGTTGATGCCTTGCTGATTGACTTTAGCAAAGCATTTGATAGAGTGAATCACTTTATTTTGCTGTCTAAACTCAACAGTTATGGCGTGGTTGGAAAATTGCTGAAATGGATTCAGTCTTTTCTGGACAAGCGGCAGTGATGCGTCCAGGTCAATGACTACCGAACGAAATGGTGTACTGCCTCTAGTGTTGCGCCACAAGGCACAATACTTGGCCCAACGCTTTTGCTTTTTCATACAAACGACTTACCAGGATGTTTGACATCTACTTGCGTGCTGTTCGCAGATGATTTGAAAGTTTGAAGGGAAATATCGACCCCCGTTGATGAGGATATACTGCAAAATGATCTCGATACTATCTCCTCATGGGCATAAACAAACTGCCTTCCACTGAATGCTGAAAAGTCCGAAATGCTCCGCATTGGCAAGTGCTGTCGGGACAGAACTTACAGTGTCGGTGGAAGTCTACTGTGCTCGGCTGCGACGGTTAGAGATCTAGGAGTACTAACCCGATGGGACTTAAAATCGTCAGACATTACGCACAAGGTCTGCTGTTCCAGCCTTCGCATGTTTTGGTCATTAAAGCGGACCTTCCATGTTTGGTCGGAGGAAATTGCTGTCAGGCTACACGTCTCCATGGTGCGCCCGCTTTTAGAATACGGGGCACCGGCCTATTATCCAAGTACAAAAGTGAGATGAGAAAACTGGAAAAAGTCCAGCACCTAGTCACCAGCCTGATCCCTACGGTCCGAGGCTTATCTTACCACCAGAGGTGCCACAAGTTACGTCTCCATACGCTAGTATACAGGAGATTACGGATTGACTTCATTACAACGTTTAGAATCCTTCACCTGAGACATTTTCCTCACCTGAGACATATGTTCTGTATCGTGGATGCACCTATCACCCGAGGGAATCCTTACAAGCTAGAAGTTCCACTTATGGACGATGTCACTCGTATTCATTGTTTCGCTCGACGTATGATACACTTTTGGAACTAGTTGCGTTTTGGAAATAGTTCCGTTGTTTTTTCTGATTCAGTGCAGTGTTTCAAACGAAGCAATGACAAACATTTTTTCGACTTGTGTTTCGATGCAGACGCCACGTTTGACCTCCTTTCGTCGCGTGGTTATGCCACGGCTACACCAGCAACCCTAAAAGACCAAGACACGTAGGGCTTTCTTTGTGCTTATATATCGGTATTTCGTTTGCTTATTACTAAACGACAACTGATGTGCATTCACACAGACCCATATTCGGCATGGGTCAATTTTGGTTTACTTATGATGGAGAGCACATAGCTTCCTATCTTATTCTCCTAATAAATTGATTCTGATTCTGATTTTGATTCTGATGGTAATTATCAAATCGTTGGCAATAAATGAACATGAAGTTAATTGGCAATCCCAGTGACAGTGAAAAATGAGAAGTACGATGACTTTGTATCAAGTGGGTAAAAATTATGCAGCTTCATTGTTTCTTCATTGAAAAGCGAAGAAATAAGACGAAATTTCTGTGGGAGCTGTATGTAGCTTGCTGACAGTCAAAATGACTGTATTTTCATTGAAGTAAACATGTAGGATTTATTTGATATAGGAAAGAAGAACCCGCTCAATCTCCTGGAAAGTTCCGTAGCCGTGTTATGTAAATAGAAAGTTAATTGAGGGTCGCAGATAACAAGGAAACGGAAAGTAATGATAGCAATACCCCAGCTGTCGGAAAAGAGAAATCGATGCTGTTTCACTGTGTACTACGTAGGTGCAAATAATAAGCCGCGG